CGGAAATCATACATTTTGCAGCAAGAATGAAATATGGAACGTATTTGGAATGGAGTAGGGTTGATTCAACGTACTTGAAAATGACCAAATAATCTATGTATTGTCCTAGTGTTACATAATGCAGCTTTAATGCATTTGGTATTGATGGCTAAAAAAAACTTTACGTAGTGCACTAACCAAAGCACTAACTGTAACCATGCTATTTTCTATTAATTAGTATTACATAATGTCCTTTAAATCCATATGTAATTGATGGATTTCATGGCCCCAGGACAAACAGCGCTCTCCAATATGCCGTCCAAGACAAAGACAGTGCTGACAGACGGATGGGTCAGGGAAGAGTTCTATCGAACCCCAAAGATGTCCACCCACCTCCTGGGCTTCGCGTTATTTGATGGGCTCACCAGTCTTGAGGCAGTCATCTCCCGAGGGAGGGTGGTGAGTGACTGGCACGGCAGTTCTGATGCTCAGTTTACGACATTTTACTAGTTTTACGACATGTTGGTGATTTTACGACAGGCCGAGAAGCAAATGGCATGAATGATGAAAGGTGTCAGAAAGAGGATCCAGTTAAAGGTTTACGAACGTTCTATGATGTTAATCCAGTCAAAAGGCGGTCATCACGACGATCATAAAGTCGGTTTTACTTTTATTTATGTTCATGACGGGTCAATTTACCGTTATTGAATGAAGTCTGTAATGGTTTCCAGGTTACAAATTTTAAGATTCATCTTTTCACACGCGTACGGGCCACTTTTGAATTTGAAATGAGCATGATATCTCAAGCCCTGTAATCTACAGAATGGACTGTTTACGTTTTTTGTTTAAACTTTTTTCATAGTGTACAGATTCATAGAGATGATAAGCCAACGGACAGTGGATTGACTTATTTTTAAGGTGCGGGTTTGGGCGCCATTTGATCCAGAGGAAAACCCGTCTGTGGAGGTCGCTCTGAACACGACGATTGACGCCATACACAACATAGAACAGTTGGTTCCAGTGGAGTATCAGCTTACAAAGACAGGTAATGAATTAAATTCCATCAGTCAAAGCTGTACAGATGTTGTGATATGTGTAGCTAAAGGGGTCAACGAGGCAATGCTAGTAACTCCCCAAAAGTCCCCCCCCCCCTCGTCCCGGTTCATCACTAGGGTTGACTCCCTTATGCAGACCACCTCCTTGATCCTTCTTAGCCAGGAATAGGATCGTGTTCTCGCCGCAAAATTAGCACATACATTGCCTACCTATAGCAACGAGAATCAGCACTCCAGTCAGACGACCTGCAAGCTAGCTTGAGGAAGATGTCTGACAGGCATCGAAACGTACGCAGGTGAGAAATATTACCGGTTGTGTAAGAAGAAAATCCCTGTATCCTTCATCTTTATCGTTCCATATTGCCACCTACATTGGATACATACAGCGGTGAGAAGCAGTACTTAAGTCAAAAGCCCTACTGAGGAAGATATCTGACAGGCATCGCAACATAAGCAGGTGAGAAACATCACCGGTTCTGTAATAAGAAAATCCCTACATCCTTCATCTTTATCGTTCCAGATGTAATTCCTGTACCAGGATTATCAGTGCCTTCTTCCGACTACTGCGGCCTTCTTATGATCAGGGAAACAGCGTTGTTCTGTGACGGGCAGGAATCCAGCATGTCTAACCAACTCAAGTGTGAGCTGGCCATCAGCAAGGCAGTGGCTCACAACGTAAGGAATGTACAGTACTAGGAAGCGAGATGACACAAGTGTAATCATACCCAAAACTGATATATATATATATATATATATATATATATATATATATA